GCGTATCGAAGGGTGTCCCCCCCCCCTCCCTCTAAATTAATGTCAATCAAAAGTAAGGGGAGCTTGATGATTGGGGGTCGGCTTCACCCTCACCATCCGCATGTATAAGGGAGTTTACAGATACAATCTGCGCATGGGCAGATAAAGGTCATTTGTACCAAAAAGGTAAAACCACCAGAGATGAATACTGGATATGCGCTCATGAAAGTTATGTAACATTATTCATTCATGGACCAACGGTACATTCTAAGATACGCAGGTGGAAGTATTCTTTTCAAGGGGGCAAACAAAAGGTATTCATGAAGCACATCTAGGACTTTGGCAGTTATTATTCTAAGATGCTCAAAGTGGAACTTCTCCATGTGTAAAAGATCTGTGGATATTTGGGGTCATTTGTACCATGTGCTATCTGTAAACTCCCTTATTCGGTGCTGTTCGTTCGCCCCGTCGCGCGGCTTCGGGCGTTGGGTGCGTGGACTAGCCTAGTCCAGAATATTGCCGGTTCAAGCCGCCGAAGATGGCGTTATCAATACGCTCACAAGCCCGTCCTAATGTAATGATCACGCCATCTTCGGCTGACAGCAAGGGGGAGGTCGCATATTGCGTTGGTGTGGTGGAGATTGAAATCAAACAGTCCAGATTATGGACTACGACTAGCTGTGCTTGAGAAAATGATCCTGGAATCGTCTGCTGAGAGGCGTAATGGTGTTTACACGTATCTTCTCTAGCGCTCTCCTTGAGCTCAGCTAGTTTGAATATATTTGTATTTCCTGTACCACCAACTGAAGAAAAAACAAACAAACAAACAAAACACAAACACTTTAATCTTTGATCTTAGTTTCAGCCTTCATTTTGGTAAAGAACACTGTGTTATGCAAATATATCGTGGTGGAACCTAGAATCAGTTTCTAGTCACTTGAGTGGCTGAAGGCATATCACGTGACTTTCATTTTTGTTTACTATTCACCCAATGTTTCTTCAGCCACGTAATAATAGTTTTATAATGCATACTCAACTACGTTTAGTCTGTCTCTTAAGTTTGTAAGATTTTACGAAACTACACTGTTCCCATAAATTTGGACTCATTTATTTGTTTTACATCTTATCATGAAATAATTGTGATAATATCGTTTATTATGGATAACTTATGGATCGTATCTTCTCAGTAGCTGAGCAATCAATGTCTCCGACTCTTTAGATAAACATTGTGATATATAAACCTTATCATTTATGTGTATAATAAATGATATTCTCATTTAGGAAAGATGAACAAGTTATTTTCCATTTTCATGGGCAAGAGCGTGTATTGTGCCAAATCTTCATGTGAAGAAAAATAAATTTCTTATCAAAGTATATTTGCGAACGTATCATATTAATGCACTGTCTAGCTGTTTATATCTTGTTGATCTTACAGCGTCATTAGACGGACATTTGTAGTGAAAAAATAAGTCATTAAGTAGACATTGTCATTAGCAGGACATTTTCTTGTCTTGTTGAAGATTGAACAATATAATTACTGCCCTCTACGTACGTTTACAGGCAGAGGAAACTTAAAGGCCTCCCCAGAAACAATAGGTTCAATAATTTGTCATTAGTTTAATTAGTTATATTGTTTTGAATTTAAGGTTAAGGGTAATATACCAGTTTTCATGATGTCCTGTTAATGTATATAATACAACTTGTAGGGTTATACATAATAAATATGTTGACGACTTAACGATTGTAGAAAGCCGAAAAGTAACATCTCAGTCTAAAATACAAAATGCAGTCACTGATCTATACCAATGGTCAGCTAAAAAAAATATGACATTGAATCCGTCCAAGTGTTTCTCTATGGTTATAACATTTATGAAAAATTGTGTAGAACAAACTTCAATTTCCATTGGTGACAAAGAATTAATTTATGTTCATTAAGCCAAAGTCCTCGGAATAATTTTAGGAAGTTGTTTATGTTTCGTTGCCTTAAGAAGTATGGATTGCCTGTAGATGACCCTTTACTTATATATAAAGGATACATTCGTTCGATTTTAGATTATGGGGTACCGGTTTTCAATGGTAATTTAACAAAAACTCATGTATATACTTTAAAACGTATGCAGAAAAGAGCTTGCAAAATCATTTTAGGACGTCAGTATGAAGCAGTATTGGAAACGTGCAATCTACGTTCATTAAAAGCAAGACGTGAGCAGTTATGTATGGACTTTGCCAATGCTCTTGCCAAACACCCACAATAAGGGAGTTTACAGATAGCACATGGTACAAATGACCCCAAATATCCACAGATCTTTTACACATGGAGAAGTTCCACTTTGAGCATCTTAAAATAATAACTGCCAAAGTCCAAGATGTGCTTCATGAATACCTTTTGTTTGCCCTCTTGAAAAGAAAACTTCCACCTGCGTATCTTAGAATGTACCGTTGGTGCATAAATGAATAATACATAACTTTCATGAGCGCATATCCAGTATTCATCTCCGGTGGGTTTTACCTTTTTGGTACAAATGACCTTTATCTGCCCATGCGCAGATTGTATCTGTAAACTCCCTTATCTAAAGAATGTTTACTTCTTAGACAACAAAGCACTTATTCTCTAAGATCTCAATCAAAGTTTGAACGATACCAATGTAAAACAAAACGCTTCCAGTGCAGCTCTCTTCCTTACTTTATAAATCTTCTGAATAAAATGTAATACCGATATAAATTGTATTTTTAGAAATTCACAGTCCATGATTGAACTATGTAAATGATAGTTTTTATCTCAATTTTCTGCATTGCTGAATATTTCTTGCCATCTCCCCTCATCTGTAATGATAAGGTACCTTTTGTCTGTATCTTCCCCTCTTCAACTCACTCCCTCTCTCTCTCTCTGTCTCTCTCTCTCTATCTCTCTTTCCGTCTCTCTTTCGCCCCCCTTCTCTCTCGTTCTTTCTCTTTTTCTCTTTTTCTCTCTCTGTCATCACTCCAACTCTCCCTCTTCTACACCTCTCCCTATCTCTTCCTTTTTTAAACAAAAATTTGAATTTGATCAATGAATTTTTATGAAATATCTATATTTTTATTCATATTTTGTGTTATTTCAATTTGAATTGCAATTGTATTGTATATATCCTTGTGAAATGGATCGCAATTCAGCTATTGGCTGCGATGATCTTTTTAATAAAATCCATTTCTATATATCTATCTATAATGCAAATGTAGTACATAGTCTATCGCACTATACGATAATACTGCGATCTAATTTTACAAATAAATGGCGATTATATTAGATTAAAAAATCAAAACAAATATTATCTCCCGATTTAAATTCTAAATAATGAAAAGAATTATAGCAACATTGCCTTTGGTGCGTTTAACTTTAACATTTCCAGTTATAATTGTTTTTTAATCGGCTTCGTATCATCGCCCTTACTTCTAGTCTGACTCTGACGTCATGTGGATTTAGCTATTCTTCCTCCAAGGAAGCGTGAAATTCTTTCGAAATTTAAAATCTATTAATCATATGATTATTCAGAACGTCTGTCATTTAGATTTTACATTTTTGATTGTTCATATCAAATGCGATTATAAATTTTCCCAAAAACAGATCGCAGTCAGAGCGTATAGCATGCGGAGCGCTTTAAAGGCTTTGCCGTTGTCGAAATGTAGTAATTCAAATAAAATACAAACAAAGTTACACTGAGGAAATGAAAAAGATATTTTGAGCTTCGATTTAATCATGATTATGATTCACAAATTTGTATTGTATTCTAGACGCAGAAAACATTAAAAACAGATCAATGATGGAAATAATGACGATTATATTATAAAGAAGGTAAGATTTTTTTTTTTAAGTAAAAAGGGGAAAAGAAGAGGTAAAGTAGAAAACATTCTGCAACACTATTAATTTCAAATGTCTGTGCTTACATAAGAAAAATAAAACACTTAAACTGAATATGATTTGATTCGGAATGCAGTCGATCATGTTTAAAACCAGCTGGCTGATCTTACTTTCACATTCTTACTGTCCGAACCTTGAGAGTCTTCTCATTCTATTGTATCCCAAGTTGGCCACTCAGTATTCAAATTTGCATTTCTTTTCTTATTTAAAATCTTTATATATCAATTTGAAATCCAACTACCACATAAGTCTGTGAATATTGATGTGCATCCCCTCTTTCTTTTCTCTTCTTTTTTCTGTCTTTTCCCCCTTTTTACCAATATTTTGTTCTTCCATATTTGTATTATTATGTATCCTTTGAGGGTAGTCATACTATCAAGCTTTGCTTATTTTGTCAACCCTCCTGTTTGATGTTCTCGATTAGTTACACCCTGCCTTATCTTATTCTACATATATTCTTTTGTCATGTGTAAATTTGCAATATTTGTTTGTTATATATTTGTAAAAATGCAAAAGAAAAAGAAAATCAAACAGAAATAAATAAATCAAATCAAATCAAATCAAATCAAATCTACATGTAGATTACATTTAAAGAGAAATCTATCAAGAATGAAAAACACTCACAAGATTCTGCACTGTAATCATTTGTGTAAGAAAGATTAAGAGTTAGCATGCAAAAAAGGCACTGCCAATTCGGATCTCACACATTTTAATTGTTTAATTTGAATAATAAAATAATGTTACAATGAAATTACTAGTGATATATCTGATTATCTGTCTACATATAAATAGAATTACGTCAATAATCGTATTGAATAACCTTTCATCTGCCAGGAGCGCTGATTAACACACTCACATGTGTGCCTCGAGTGCTAATCGGGAAGAAAATAGGATCTGAACTACACGTATGTCTTACAAAAGCCTTGCATAATGATCCATTTCCAGCCTTAATGGAATACAAGACCAACTCCTTTATGACATATATGTGTTTTTCTCACTTGAAAATAGTAGAATTAAACTAACGAACGAAAGAGAAACGTACACGTCCAGAATTAAAGTATAGATCACAGATATTATGAGAGTGACCAACACAAAGTTGTTAACATCTATTTTTAATCTGTTGAATTTGAATCATAAATCATCGCTTTAACGTCGCCAAAGAACGCCCGAAGCCGGACCTGGTCTATCTACTCTCATTGGAAGAAGCAGATTCTTTTGAGGCAGCGCCATTAGCCTTCTCTGAACTAGATCGCTTCTAGCGACCTGTCGAGTCTGAGTCTGAGCCTAAAGATCGCTTTTTGCGACCTGCCGAGTCTGAGCCTGATTCAGATCGCTTCTCGCGACCTGCCGAGTCTGAGCCTGATTCAGATCGCTTCTCGCGACCTGCCGAGTCTGAGCCTGATTCAGATCGCTTCTCGCGACCTGCCGAGTTTGAGTCTGACCCTAAAGATCGCTCCACCCGATCCCTTTCCATGCCGCCATCATCTATCTTCCTCATGTTCTTCTTGCCGTACCTGCCTGAGGTATAGAGAAATAATGATACAACATAAGTCAGGGATCTTCTGTCTGTTCACGTGTAATGTATGTGTGAAAATTAAATGTTACATGGCTTCGCTTATTCATGTAAATAAGCACGTGTGGTAAGTATTTCTTTTTCTTTTAACAAACATAATGTATTGAATGATTATGACAAACAAATTGCCGAGTTTACTACACTATTAGGCTTTTTCACATAATTATGCCTTGGTTTATATATATATATTTTTTTTTCATTTTTTTAATTTGTTTTAATTGAACGAATAAATATAACGCACAACAAAGGTCTTATACGTAGTCACATTACATTATTTTTTTACCCTGACATTTTTTGCACGTAGCGTCTTTTTATTAGGGCACACTATACGATCCGACTGCAATACAATTTTGGAAAAAGTTGCGATTGTAAGACAAAATATTCTTGAGCCTTGTAAATGACGTTTTTTGTTGTTGTTATATATAAATATATATATATATATATATATAAAAATAAAAAGGGGTTGAATTTTAGCCATCAAACTAGGTCTGAATAGTCGTAGAATAATAACATCTAAATTTCAGGTGATTTCAAACCTTCCCGGAGGCGCATTTTTTTCCGTACCGCTAATGCGTCGCAGAGGTTGTTTCGACGACTTGAATAGAGGCAACATCCGACACACACCGCCGCACTGATCTTGTCACGTTTTCAGATCATAACACATCAGCCGACAGTTTTGTGTGTGGCTTTATTTACACTTTTAAACGTGCGTTTCTCTGAGTATCGTTGGCAAAAGTCATTAAGTGTTGTGTTCTCATAAAGATTTATTCGGGTTTAACTTTAATCTTTCTTTGTAATTTTCTCGATTTATTCCATTGTGAGATTTATACGAGTGGCAAATGGTTATCCTTGGTTTTAGGGGTTTAAATTATTTTCGATTGCTAATTTCAGCTAATGTCTCCCTAACCCTAATCCTATTCCTAAATCCTACCCCAACCTTAACCTTAAAACCTAGACTAAATAAACCTAATCTTAGTCCTAGAATTTACGCCAGATCAACTTAAGTACGCCTCAGCTCATCGCACGGTACTGTGTGTCGGATGTTGCCTCTATTCAAGTCATCAAAATAACCTCTACGGCGCATTAGCGGTACGGAAAAAAAAGCGCTTCCCGGTGGCAAGCCAATCCGACTCATAACCACTGTGAGCTCACGTCAACTTTGAACATGCTGTTAGGCATTCTCATTTAATAAGTGAAATAGTGCTACTTTGACATTTCACAACGTCATAATTGTGTGACCAGGCTTCCCTCATCGGGTCATCGCGTCGGGTCGAGGGTCGCGTAACCCGACCTTTTGTGAAAACATGCCACTTTATTGACGGGGTTAATGTTTGTGAAATAATCACCTCTCTTCTACAAATCGCCTGTTCCAATTTACCCGACACTTTGTGAAAACCCTATTAAAAGCAAATCTACGAACAGTCGTCTAATGTTTCACGCAAAGTTGTGTAACGCGACCACCCAGCCAACGAACGCGATGACCCGATGGTTCGAAGTAAGCCGTGTGACAAGGGGCATTTATTAGAGTGTGAACTACTTACGTGCTTCAGATTGTCCTATGGTCATCAAGAGACAGAGAGACACGATGAGAATGATCGACATCTTGAAAGTGTTCATCTGTTGAAGAACAAATGAATAATAAATGTATAACATAAGCCTCAACAACATTAATAACTGTAGTATGTACTGTTGATGATATTATACTACTACTGCTACTACTACTACTAATGTTACTGTCGAGGTAATAATGATGATAATAATAATATAATATTATCTAGCCTTGAGAGGGATGCGACATATATTGCTCAATGTGATCTCGTAACTCAGCGACACGAAGTCGAGCAGTAAAGTGCAGTCTCGAGATCACCGAGGACCTATAGTTTTAACCGAGACCCGAAAAAATAAGCAGTCAGTAATTTGATGATATACTGCATCCACAGTATCATTCTTAAAATGAGATATCTTAACAAAATATGGCTCTTCAAGTGTATTTATTTTGAAGATTCACATGTTGATTTCCCAATCTAGTGTCCCACTGCGCGTACCCATTGTTAAAGATCAAGTTCAGTTCTGGTCGTGCGTTTGCATTGTGAAAGAAACACTGTGGAATCGATCAGAAAAGGTTGATCATCCAACATATAAGTATTGGTGTGTACTGCAACGTTCTGGAATCATCAAAATGATAGGAAATTTGGCCCAGTCTTGGTAAGATTACAAACACTGTACACAGAAAGATGTATATGGGACTACACGAACATGTGGCATCAAAATCCGTCCCGGTTGTTATGATGTTACATGCCACATTTAGAATATTAAGGTATTTGAAGAGCCATGCTTTTCAGGAAACATTTGTTTATCTGATGTTTTTCCACATTTGCATAATACAACGATGACGCTCAAAAATGATTTTCTTGCCAGAACTCAAACTTCTCTTTAACTATACCGCTAAAATTGCGTCCTCATATTATATGGCCAATGACAATAAAAATTCATTATCATGTTACCCACATTGAGGTATTGGAGAAGTTTACAATCAGTTTGAATTCGACAATTTAAAACTGTTCATAATACAATTCAAATCGAATTAATGTTATTCAATAAAATTATTAATAACGACGGATTTTTTTCGAGCTTTACCACTAGAAAAGACAACAAATTTGTTTTTCAATAGCTGTGTTGCCTTGAAGAAACAATTTGTACAATAATCAGATACCGTATCAGGAGCAAGTTGAAGATAACCTTCAGTTTGTGCAAGAACTATCGTATCGTTTGCATACAGTAATGTAAAAGCCTGAGATATACATCTATGCAGTTTTGATACGAAGCTGGACCAATACATTTGGCAGGAAGAACATCTACTCCTCCAAACTTTTTGTTTTGCAAATTAATTGTTTAAAGTCACTAAAATAAAAAATAAAGCATCGGAGATAAATGTTCTCCTTGTCGCACATCAATGTTACAATCAAATAAAGAAGACTTTTCTGAACAAGAAACTACACATGACTTAGCCTGAGCAAACAAATGGTAAATTACATTGACAAAGTTACCATCAACATTATCATTAAAAATAAAGACCAGTTATGGTCATGCGATTGCATTGTGAAAGAAACGTTGTGGAATCGATCAGAAAAGGTTGATCATCTAGCATATAAGTATTGGTGTATACTGCAAGGTTCTGGAATCATCAAAATGACAAGAAATTTGGTCCAGTCTTCGTAAAGTTACAAGCACTGTACACAAAAAGATGTATATGGGACTACGCACACGTGCGCGACACGTGCGTTTATCTCTCACACACCAATATATAAACTAATTTACCAAATATATCAATTAGTAGGCGGTTTCCCGGCAAAATTTGTATCATCATGTATTAGTCAAAACATATTCTTTTACATGATTGGTAATAAGAGCTTCCATTTCATTTTTTTGAAATTGGGGCGTTTCGAATACTGGTCTTTACCTTTAAATTATTTATTCCAAAGAGAACTCGTGGGCGTTATTTCAAAAATTGTTGTAACTTTTGTCTTATCATTTCTTGTATCTTCCATACATAATACAACGCTAATATTTTGTTGTAAGTTGGTATTCTGAAAATTAAATAATACCTATATTATCTCTTGAAGGACCGCTCCTATCTAATCTTTGAAGCGCCCATTTTTGTGGACCCAACCAATCAAGATCTATTTTTATATAAACATAATAAGTAGGTTAACCAATAGGAGTCGTTGGTGCCATATCTGAAAATGCACTCCACGCAAATTAATGTTGGGCGTAATTAGTTAATTGAGCGCTTATTACGCGTCATCATAAATTATACAGTGGGTCCATGACAAAACGAAGCGGAGAATTATCGATGATTTATCATAACTTAAGATCAAATCAAATCCACGAAAGTAAAATCAAATCAGATATGATCAGCTCACACAAGATCAGATCAAATTAAACAAGAACAGATCAAATCAAATAAAGTTAATTCAGATAATATAAGATTAGGTCCCTGTGTCATCAAGAAATTGATTTGACTCAATCGTAACTTAGAATTAGTCGCAACTTTGTACTTAAAAGATAGGAGTTGCGATTAATTTTAAGTTTTGATTGATCCGAATCAATCGTAACTCTTTATAAGACGGGGCCCTGATCAGATAAGACCAAATAAGATCATACATTATCATATAAAATCAAATTAAGTCAAGTCAATTTAAGTACATTCAAGCCGAATCAAATCAAATGAAGGCAAGTCAAGTCAATTCAAGTCAAGTCAAGTCAAGCCAAATCAAATGAAATCAAAATCAGATCAAGTCAAATTAAAAAGTCAATCTGATGATACTCGAATATTTTACTTACGATGCTTTGAGTTGTTAACGTCTGATGAAACAGGAAACGAGACACGAAGTGAAGAGCAGCTTCACAAAGACTAATAACGAAAAATTAGCAGTGTCCTAAAACCAGCTCCTATTTATACAGTTTGAACGGTAAAATGCCTTGAATGAATTACACACAAAAAGAAAATAAATGACGTCCTAGTTTCGTGACCGTATCGAGTATTGACCATGTCAAGCTCGAAATCACAACAGCTTTTGTTTCGAGCGGATACGTGAAACCACGTGACTCTCATCGCCATTTGTTCTGCCCCACTGTTGCGCATCCACCTTCCGGTCAAGGAATGGCAAATAACGTAATAAACAACCATATTTACTTTATTATTATCCTATTATCACTTGATCCATTACTTTTTGTGTGTAATCCCTATGGGAGATGACTTTTTCTCAAATCTGGATTCTACATTCCTGTCTTTTGCGAGCAATATCGCCGTTATTTCTGCTTGGTTTTTGTTGATTTTTTAGTATGTTGTAGCTGAGACAATATGCTATCTATAAAATGTCCCCTCATTTTTTCAATCAGATGTCGGGATCACGCTTATGATCATGATCATGATCATCATCAATATCATCATCATCATCATGAACATCATAATGACCATGGTCATGATCATGATGATCATTATCATCATCATCATTAACATTATCGTTATTATCATCATCTAACAATATCATTATCATCATTATCATCATCACCATTACTATCATGATGATGATGATCATCATCATGATCATGATCATCATCATCTTCATCATCATGAACATCATCATCATTAGCATTATCGTTATTATCATCCTCTAACAATATCATTATCATCATCATCATCATCACCTTACTATCATGATCATCATCATGATCATCATCATCATCATCATGATCATCATCATCATTGTTTACATGTTTATATAACTTCTCCCTTTCTCTATATAGTAAATATTCAAATCTCTCATAAGAAGTGAAGACAGACCACCTAATTCGTCCTAATGACGAATTAAATTTCTAGTTCAAATTAAGATTATTTTCCATTAGTATTTGTTGGCATTAGTGTTATCGTTGAGATGATGTCGAAGCTTTGAACAAGACAGTCTTGAACGTTGATATAGACTTGGCGCCCCTGGTATATCATGGAAGGTTATTCGACAGCTTAGCTCCAGAGAAAAAGGAGGAGGCTCGGTCATCCCAATTGTATAAATACATACACAGATGCCCTCTTTTCATGAATCGATTGTGAGAATAAGGTGTACTCTAGATAGACAATGTCAAAACGACAATATTTTTAAATGTGGTCGAAATGTTTGAGTAGGTAATTCAGATAATGGTGATAATAAGAAATAACCTCTTAATTAATATTTTGACTCTATAAACTTGTGTGTTTGATTTTAAAAAAGCGGTCGAGGTTAAAAAAACAAATTAATCGATACGAATAAGGTTAATAATAATCGACCTCCTGTTTTTTATTTGGTGGCAAATAAGCGATAGTTTGTTATATTCAACAAAAGGTGGTTGCGCTCTATTTGGCAATTAGGTCAGTGGATTCTGACGGAAAACAAGGAAAGCTCATTGCAAAACTGTACTCTAGTACAGAAATATCATCAATTTATTATTGTTTTCCTATAAGGATTCCATAGGTACCTTTTTCCTTTTGGTACTATATAATAACAATTTATTAAGCATTTCACAATATTATGATTGTTCCTTTAAAAAGTAGTTTTAATCACTATGTGTCTTGGAACATATGGGGAGATTGTAATGCACTGCTTCACATGCAGTGACATGACTGATTCAGCCGATTTGATGTTCCAATACGAATATTCATTACAACTTTTCAACAACTAAAACCTTCTTAATTATTTCTTGTCCGATTTCTTTCAAATTTGCATCAGTCTGCTTCTATGGTTTCCCTGCTTTCTTTGAGAATAGTTTTCTATAACAAAAAAAATTGCTTTAATATCAGGCCTAACGAAAGCCTTGTCGTGTTTTGGACCTGGGCAAAGAATTCAATTAAAGCCTGTCTGCACTAGTTTGGCCAGGATAGATTAGACCTTCATGCCTGTTCACTGACTGGTGGTTATCCCATCAAATCAGCTCTCAATTGACATAAGAAAAAGGGGATCATGGGGGACCAACGGGTACCGCTTAGGCACTGTTTGCTATATAGAGGGCGCAAGTAGCTACAGGTAATGCAGTCCCGCATTAACTGGTATTGACCGTAGAGGACTTGTCGTCAGAACGAATGACGTACAACCCCCAGGCCCAGGCGCGGATCCACGTGGCGATTTTTCCGGCCTGCCCCCCCCCTAGCCCAAATAACGGTTTTAAAAAATAGGATAAGTGCGTAAATTTAAATTGTTTTGAGACAACAAACAAAAGCGGGCCCCCCCCCCCAAAAAAAAAAATATATATATTTTCGCCCACATCAACAAAATAAGTGGTTCTCCTTTCCATCACCCTCCCCCCCCCCCGCTAATTCACCGGCCGGCTGAGTCGGCGCCAGGCGCGTACGCAGGGGGGGGGGGGGGGAGGGGTTTAGGGGGTTGAACCCCCCCCTTTGGTATTTTTAATTGTGTAAACCCCCTTAAAACCCCCCTTTGTTTGTTTTTTGTTTTTGTTTTTTGTTTTATTATAAAAAAAAAATATTCCCATGGCTGACCTAAAAATGTCAAATTTTCAAATTTCGAGACCAAAAAAAAGTGTCCTCTTACCCCCCGCTTATTCAGCGGCTGGCTGAGTCGTTGCGAAATTTCCGGCCCGATTTAAAAATGTTAAAACATCCCCCTTGAAAAAATCCTGCGGACGCGCCTGGTCGTCGCTAATTTTTTTTCTCAAAATTTTTTTTTTTTACAAGCATGTATAATGATAATTTACCAGTAGATCAATGTGTGATAACCCAGCCTGCCTTTCACGTTATGTTACACTAACGAGAGTTAAAACGGTAACAGTTTTAACGCCCAAGTCACCCCGCCAAAACCGACAACAAACTAACATGACTACTAAAGATATTAAAAGGTGAGTTCTGGTAATGCGATTGCATTGTGAAAGAAAAGGTGTGGAATCGATCAGAAAAAGTTGATCATGTAGCATGTAAGTATTGGTGTGCACTGCAAGGTTCTGGAGTCATCGAAATCATAATAAATTGGCCAAGTCTTGGTAAAGTAACAAGCACTGTACACAGAAAGATGTATATGGGACTACACAATTGGTGTCTAGGCTACCTACCTTGATTTCCTTTTCTTTCTATGCTCATTACTCAGCCAGTTTACATTTTCTTCCAAAATTGTTTGGCACATGACATATATTTGTAATCTTGAAAATTCAGTGTATATTTCGTTTGATTCTGTGAGAATTCATTTTTTTTTTTTACCAGAACTCAAGTTTATCTTTAAAGGCATCGTTTAACAATATTAAATCTGAAATGCATTTCCCTACGTGTTATCAGTGTTTGTGATGTGGTGTAACATTGAAGCCCTAAAATTTTTTTATTTAGATTAAAATTAAAAGCGATTTAAAATGATTAGAAGTGCCTCAAAAAAGTAAAAAAAATCTTTGAGTGACCGGTTTTACCGTACTAATTTCCCCCAACAGACTGTAATGTTATAAAAACCGTTAGGAAAGCGAAAAACAGAATTTCGATTTCCAATCGTAAATATCTTGATAATCAGACAGGCGATCGGCTTGTAAAAGTCATGGGATTCCGGACTGACTGACTTAAAGGTTTATATTATAGTTGCAGCATGAGCTAAATCAAAGATTTTCTTTCAGAATCTGAGGCAATGTTACCGAGTCACTTTAGAGCTCGGTTTTAAGAATCTAGGACGATTTGAAATGCGGGCTCATCAAAAGGTGTTTAGAGAACAAAATATGCGTGTGTGTTGATGATAGCTATAGTTAAAATTACGTAGTTGTGACACGCGTACGCTCGCTTGTTCATAGGCCAAACTCATGTACGCAGCCCCAAACAGTTCCCTCCCACACAGTTTGTGGGAGGGGACTATCATTGCTGCTCCATGTACTCACATGCGAATCTATCTCTTTACTAGCTCGGCGTTTCTAAGGGTGGTCGGGGGAATATACCCCCTGTCAATTAAAGGTAAGAGGAGTTTGACAAGTGTCGGTTTGCTCGAGTGTTCACCAGGGGTGTCGATTTGTATCCGTGGTTGGGGGGGGGGGGGGGTGATAGGTGCCAAAATATCTTCGGCAATGGATCAAAGCAACCAAGAGGTAGAACCGTGTGGCAGGTTGCCCCCCCCCCTCCCTTCCAAGTTATTAACTTCTTCAAGTCACCCTCAATAAAGATAACATTTCAGAGAATATAAGAGTGGTAATACATTTAATAACATGCTAAATGTTAGTCCTGACTCTTGCCTGCAGTGTAGGCCTACCAGACTGATATCATTTAATTTTAAACGAAATTTAGACCATCCAAAAAAAAAATCAATGGTGAGCGATATCAACTTGTGGAAGTATTATGTTACCAGTGGGCAAATGTATCAATAAGCAACCAGAAAAGGTTCATGTAGACAGAAAAATCTTTATTTCCTGGTGATATGAACATACATTTTATGAATATTGATGTCTCCAAACAACATTCATCGTGAAAAACCCATTCCAATATTCTGTGTAAGGAGATCTCAAAAAACATAGTTCTCAGGGGCGGCCGAGCGACTTCCAAAGTGGAGGGAGGGGGAGGGGGCACCAAGAAACAAGGGCACTTTCTTGGAAAAAAGAGCACCTACAAAGGGAAATCTCAAAGCGAAAATATAAAATTTTTTAGACATTGGTAGACCCCTACATTGTAATTACAATTATCAGGGATGATTTCAATATTTGTTTCACTTTATACACCATACACGATATTGCTTAAGCGTGATGCTTTGCAGCTGGGTTTGATTGTCTAAAATATTGTTTGCGAGCGAGCGAGGACAATTTTTAAGATGTATGAGGTCGCAATGCGAAAAATTACGTCTTATAAAGAGGAAGAAAAAATTCAATCCTAAGGGGGTTATAAGTACATTCTCATAACGGAAGACTGAAAAGACCTTTGATAAGTAACAGAAGTATAGCTTTGGGGGAAATTGCTCTTAGTCGCGTTTAATGATGAGAGG